TGCTAACCAGTGGGGTTCAGGTATAGAAATCCCCATGGCTACCCATTTAGGGTCCTCCCTCTTGCAGGGAGTGTGGAAATGTGGTGTCTCGGTGTCGGTGTCGGTACTGGGGTGTGCGGTACTGGGGTGTGCGACTGTGAGAGGCTCCCCGCAGGGGGCGGTGGGGGTGAGAGAGGACCAGATGCAGCTGTCAAGTTTGGGCCCCGCCGCACCCCTGCGGAGAGCATGGACAGTGGGGCATTGTCGCCACTCCGAGGCTTGGACGGCCCCCCACGTGTATTGATACTTGGCCTTTTCAGCAGCCCTGAATTCAGCCCTTGCCAACTTCCTACAGAGGAAGGGTGACTCGGGGCCAGGCGGGTGAACACAGCCTGCGAGGCTGGGGGGCCCCAGGCAGGCTGTGTGCCTCCAGGTTCCCACTTCAGCTGCAGCCAGCTCTATCCAGCCCCAGCTGGAGACGAGGCGGAAAAGTGGAGGTGGGGACGTGGCAGCGGGCGCGGGCCTGCCCTGCCCTGCCCTGCCAGAGCCGCTGGCTGCGTCCTATTTTCCCAGCTCTCTCCAGAAACCCCTGGCCTCGGATAATCCCCCAGGCCCGGCCTCTCTGAAGAGGGAGGGATCCCTCCTGGCTGTCTAGGACCTTGCTGGCCGACCAGCTGAGGACCCACGCGCTGTAGGTACAGCTCAGCCTCTGGTGCTGGGGTATGTTTGTTGTCACATATGGCCCTTAGAGTGGCCTCTGAGGTAGAGGTGACTGTCCCCATTCTGTAGGTGGGGAGCCGGGACTCTGAGAGGTGGTCACTTGCCCAAGGTCACACAGCTGGTGAGTGGCGGGCCAGCGGGGACTGAAACCCAGTCTGCCAGCCTCACCAGCTGCACCCGCAGGGGCCTTCTGGGGTTTGTGGAGGGACACACTGCATCTCCTGTGTCTCCCTCCACCCCAGGACCCCTCAACAGGGTGGAAGGAACAGGGCTGGGGTGGTCTGGACATTACCAGCCAAGCCTATGTGGCCCACGGCGACTGGCCCTGTGCCCCTGGGGGCTGTGTGCTCAGGGCTGGTCCTGAGTCCCGAGGGACAGAGCCCTGGAGAGTCAGACTGTACCACACACATGCCCCGTGCTGCCTCCTGAGGACACCGTCCCTTTCCTCAAGGACCTGAAAAGACCAGACACAGACTTGCTGTGCAAACCCTGAGGAGGCTGCATTAAGCTCCAGGCCTGGACATGTCCCTGATACTAGGGTCGCTGGATGGTGGCTGGATGGTCTTTTTCATACACCAGGGAGCAGGCAGGACATGGAAGTTCTGAGGGGCAGAGTCTTGGAGCTGCCCTGGGCACAGGCCTTGCTTGTGGACCCCTGGCTGCCTGGAAACACGAGCTCTTGGGAGGCCCCTTCCCCGTTCCCCGATCTGGCCAGGCCTCCAGAGCAGCCCGGGTCCAGCACTGGGCGTCCTCGCACACCCGAGATGGAGAGCACTGCTGCGGTGTGGCCGGGGGCGAGTAGGCAGCTCTCTGGGCCCCCCAATGTCCTCTCCCCAACCTCCTCACAAGCATACAAGACCGGGGCTCCATGTGCCCCTGGCTGGAGGGTGACTCACAGCCTCAGGAGGCCCGTGTCCACAGGCCACCTAGAAACCCTGTGTGAGGGCAATATTTTTATTATGGACAAGTTCTCTCCCTTTCCCTCTGCAGCTTTATCTGAGGAACATAAAAGAGGGAAGCTGGCTCTCAAGGGTTCTAATAGGACTTACTCTGAGTTCTTCCAGCCAGGTGGCTCAAGGGTGTGATAAGAGGCCACTTTCTGGCACCTTCCGGCACCTTCCAGTGACTGCCTCTCTCTGCCCCCCATCCCCAGCAGTTCCACCCAGACCCTTCCCCAGAGCAGGACCAGGGACTGCGGCCCTCAGCGGGGAGTGCAGGTGACCAGGGCAGATGTCACCACACGGCTCTCAGGCCAGGCACAAACCAGTACCATCCCAGGCTAACCAAGGTGTGTGTACAGTCACTTTCTTATAGCTGTCTTTATACTATTTGAATTTAGGGAGGAAACTACTAGAAATGGTTTTGAAATTACGATTAAAATTCCCTTGCCTTGGATAAACAATTGTGAGTTGAATGAAAAGGTGTTAATGTAGGGAGCAGCTGATTTTAAGAGAAGCAGCTGGAATGAGTGTGTGTGTGTGTGTGTGTGTGTGTGTGTGTGTGTGTATGTGTGTATGTAGTGAGGGGCGGGTGAGGGGCCCTGGGCTGTGCGTGTCAGAGCCTGGCTTCAGGTCTCAGCAGGGCCCTCTGTGAGCCGGGTGGTTCCGTTGCAGCTGCCCTCCCGCTCTGGGCCTCATCCTCCCAGGTGTCCTGAGTCTGCCCTGTTGTGAGCTACAGTGGGGTGTGCATGAGACAGACGAGGGTGCTTGGTGGTCGGTGAAGGGCCAGGATGATGTGGGCTCTGCTCAGTCACAGCTAACAGTCTGCCGCAGGAGGTGGTGGTCTTGTTGGGAAGGCGGGACCCTTGTGCCCCTTCCGCCCTGCCTGTGGCTGAGACAAGCTACTTGAGCATGCTCTTTCCATCCCAACAGGGGCTTGGCCAGCTGCCAGGAGTGTCAGGACGCTGCTGTGGGACTTCCAGTGAGGGGGTGGACAGTCCCCACCTGCATGCGTGAGTGGAGTGCTTTGGGGCCGCAGAGCGCCCGGCATACACTCAGCCTCTGTACCTTGGTGTCCAGTGAGCCAAACTTAAGTTGGCCAAAGGCCAGGCTGGACCCCTGAGGAGCACAGATGCTGGCCTCCACGTGGCACTCTGCCTGCCTCTGGGAGCCGGTGGGCCGCAGCCTTCTCAAGGTGAGCGTTGGTGACACAGGTGGGTCCTAGTCCCTAACCTGTGGCTAACTCCCACATGGCCCCAGGCAAGGCCCTTCACTTACAAAAAGGGGGCAAGGAAGCCCAGCTCCTAGGGCTGTGGTGAAGACCAAAAGAAACACCCATTGCCCAGTGGCCGCGCGCTCCTGCGAGCCACCAAGCAGGCAAGAACTTCCCCCGCCTGTGTGGCCAGGATGGCGAAGAGCTGGCCGTTCTTCATGGCCAGGTAAAGGACCAGACCAGGCGCATTGCTCCTCCAAGAACCCCATTCTCCGGTCTGCCTCCTTACTTGTTTGTCCTGGGGCATCTGTGTGCTAACCTGGAGTCTCCTCTGGGTTGGGAAGCAGGTGGGTGTGAAAGCTGCTGCGTGAGGAGGAGCACTGGGGTGTCACAATTATTAATGGCGACACATCCCTGTAAACTGTGCTTTCCCTGTCGTCTCCGTGAGCTTTGGAAATGCACGGCGGGGAGGAGGCATCTATGATAAATGGAACCAAGCGCGTGGCAGCTGGAGGCAGGCAAGGCTGTCTGCATACTGGCCAGAGGGCTCTGGCAGGCTGCGCTCTGAGCCTTGGTTTCTCCGTCAGTCAAATGGTGTTAATGGTAGCCGTCCGGAGAGTTGTCGTAAAGCACAAGTGGGGTGTTAACTCTCAGCTCGGCTTGTGGACTTTGGTGGCTGCTCAGTAGCGTCGGTTTCCGTTCGTTTCTGTCGGGATGCAGCTTCAGGCTTGTGGATGAAGAGCTTGCTCAGGGCACGAGATCTGATGGATTGGGAGCCATGTGATCAGATTAGTGACATCAAGGTGGCAAGGGCCCTGGGAACACCAGGGGCATGTTCAGGGCTCAACCTCTCGGTCTCCGTGGTTGGGGGCCTGGCTGTCGGGTGCCAACTTTATTGGTCCGTCTGGTGTTCAGCTCGAGCCCCGGCACAGGCGGGGGAGCCAGGCTCATTAGTCGCCAGCTGTTCTTAGCCCAGGATCTCCTGGCGGGGACATCCCCAGGAGGACCACCCACTCACCAATGGCAGCAGACGGCTACACGTGTCTGGACAGGCACGTTCAAGCCTGTCACTGAGCAGCTTCTTCAGACATCCCTGAACCTGTCGTCTGAGACTCCCAGAGGCTTTTCACAGCCCTTGCTCCTGTTACCGTTCTTGTCCTGGGGCTGAGGGGACCTTTAATGGGGTTGTCTGCCAGCCCTCACCGAGGAGCACACCAGACAACCTTGGGAGTAGGTTGACATCTCAGATGGGAACAGGTAGAAGCAGTGCCACCCAGGAAGTACCTACCTTTCCGGAGACAAAGCGGCCCCAAGAAATGGTTTGTGAAGAGCTGCCCCTCAGTCTAGGGTACGCTCTGAACAAAGCCAGAGAGAGCTCTTCTATCAGATGATTTTAGCAAAAGGTGCGGGCACATCTTTGTTGCGCACTGTCATTGTGCCAGGCAGTGTGTTGGGCACTGGACACACCATGGGCAGGTCTGGCCCAAAGCACAGAAGCAAAAGTCCTGGCGTTCTTGCTCTCTTAGCTAACATCGCGTCCTCTGGCCGGGATTTATTCATTGAGGTCCTACCGTGCCAGATGCTAACATGAAATAACTCGCTTAATTGACACAATGACCCAAGATTCCATTGCCATTCCTGATTTACATGGGACAGAACTGAGGCTCAGAGAGCTTCCGTGTCACACCCAGAGTCACCGAGGGTGGATCCCAAGCTGTGCAGCTCCTTGTACCGTGTTGCATCAAACCCTCCTGGCTCAGGGTGGTTCTTGAAGGACATTCAGTGTGGATGTGCCCTTCATCTGGATCACCAAGAAGCCATCGTTTGGCTTCCTGGCACACTTCACAATGGGGGCTCTGGTGTGCTGACCAGGTGCCCCGAATGACGTGGCTGGCCTGGCTGTGGCCCTTCTCCATGGATGGCCATTCCTGAGAGTTCTGGCTCCTCACTGGACTCTCATGAGTTGGCCAGTACGAGAGGTCTCTGAGACTAATCACCTGCCAGGCATTGTCATACTTGGGGTCTTGGGGTCTGGGCCTCCCTGCACCCCAGCACCTGCTGTCCCCGGTCCTACCAGCATTCTTGCGGTCTGATGGGCAACACCAAGCTGTGGGGGGCCAGCCTCACTCTGCCCCCTCTGTCTTTTCCAGGGCAGTGAGGTCGCAGGCCCTACGTATGCTGATGGCGAGCTCATCCCCAGGGAGCCCGGCTTCTTTCCCGAGGACGAGGAGGAGGCTATGACGCTGGCCCCGCCCGAGGGCCCCCAGGAATCAGACATAGACAGCCCCATGGAGAGCACCCAGAGCCTGGAGGGATCTGTCGGGAGTCCTGCCGAAGAGAAGGACCGGGGCCTCGGGGGCCTGTTTCTGCCAGAGGACAAGTGAGTTAAAACTGTCTGGAGCTTGGTATGTGCCTCTGGGCCCAGAAATGTGGTTCTTGGAAGGAAATAAATATGAGACGCACTCAAGATTTGTATCACAGGCATTAGTGTCATGGATATTCTGAATAGCAAAAAGTTCTAAGCAGCCTAAATGCTTAAAGTAGGGATAGTTCTGGAATTTCAGGCAGCTGGACAAAGTCAAGTTTTAAATTACTTTAATGTTATGGGATATATGATCTCAATTAGCTTTAAGAAGCAGGTTACAAAGATGTCGGTGAAGTATGAACTTTGTTAGAAATACTTACCTATATATTAGGAAATGCCTAGAAAAAATTAATCTAGAAAATTAAAGTTATTTCTGGATGGTGGGATGATGGATCATTTTAATTACCCCCCATCTCCCCTGCTATGTATTCTATATTTTCTATATAGATTATGTGCTCTCATAATCAGAAATGTTACTTTAAAACAATATTAAGACCTAAATGACTTTCCAGTGAAGTAATGTTGTCTTGTAGTTTGGTGCTGGCAGACGGGGGTCCCTTGCATTTCAGCCCCCACTAATGTTCTGGAGGTACACGGTACTCGTGGGCCAGTGGGAAGCTGCCACCGTTGTGGCTGAGGAACCTGTGGCCACTGGAGTGGCAGGTCCCCTGTTGGAGGAAGGTGATGGTTACGGCTGACCTAGAGATCTAGAGAGGGAAGAGGGGGTTCCAGGATTGGTTGAACCATATGAAATTGACAACTTTTAGTCATTTCCAGCCTTCAAAGAAAAAACGGTGATTTCATGTGGCTCAACCTCATACATTTTCTAAATGCAGGGCTTCTCAAACGCGAGCATCTGAGGGTCATGATGTTCTTGGTTCATCAGCTGCGCCTGCGTCCAGCCAACCCAAGGACAAGGGGTCTGAACAACAGACCTGTTGATGCTGTGGCTAACCATCTGCCACTTGACTGTTCCTATTGTTTTCCGGGGCTGACCGTGAGGAGACAAGCCAGCAGAGGGTACTGAGAGTGTCAGTAAAATATTAAGAGAAACAACTGAGGAGATGATTAATTCAACCCAAAGCACTAAGGAACCTGGGGGCAGATAAATAAGTATATAAATAACGTGTGATCCAGGTACCGAGAGACTTGTTCTATATTTAGTACACACCTCAGCGTTAACACTGTGATCCTTAGATAGAAACTGGGGTTCCAGGCCGGGCGCGGTGGTTCACGCCTGTAATCCAAGCACTTTGGGAGGCCGAGGCAGGAGGATCACTTGAGGCCAGAAGTGTGTGTGAGACCAGCCTGAGCACCATAGTGAGACCCTATCTGTAGCAGCTTCTTCAGACATCCCTGAACCTGTCGTC